GGAAAGTGAGATGGATTTGCTCAAGGGGTAATTTATTTTGTTGACTTCCATCATGGTTTAAACCCGGCCGGCAGCCAAACACCACACAGCTGCTTGCTCAGCCTCCCCAAGCCCTGGGGAATGGGAGAGAGCGTTGGAGGAGTAAGGAGACTTGTAGGTTGAGAGAAAAACAATTTAATAATTGAAATAAAATTAAAATAATAATGATAATATTAATAGTAATAATAGAAAACACAAACGAGTAATGCACAATGTGATTGCTCACCACCTGCTGACTGATGCCCAGCCTGTTCCTGGCTAGCGATAGGAGAGAAGAGAGAATCCTGAAACCGCAATCCTGGAAGCCAGAGTGAGCTTCCCAGTCAACCCTTATTGATATAACAAGCACCACACTACATGATATGGAATATTCCATTGGCCAGTTTGGGTCCATTCCTCTGTCTTTGCTCCCTCCCAGCTTCTTGTGCACCTGCACAGCAGTGGGTCAAGGGGAGTTGAAAAGTCCTTGATTTCTTAGCAAGAACTGAAAACATCAGTACATTATCAACATTCTTATATCAAATCCCATACTGAATCCAAATCATAGTACTATTCTGGCTACTAAGAAGGAAAAAAAAACCCCAAAACTCTGCCCCAGTTGAAACCAGGACAACTTCAGTAAGCGTTCTACAGACATCTGAGTGCTGTGCAGAGTTTAAATGAAAATGCTGATGTTTTTCATGTTCTTTTCACTTCTGACAAGCAGACCCTTATGATGATTTGCTGAGGGAAGGCAAGGCAGATAACCAGCAGGGTAGATGAAAGAAGGAAGGATGCTCTGTGACTTCCACAGTCGGGAGTTACGGTTCATGGACAGTGAGGGACAGAAGGGAACTCATGGCTCCTCTGATGAGCGGAGTTGGGTTGACCCCAGGTATTAAACTGGACCAGGTAAAGTAGAAGGCATCTGCTTAACGCTGAAGCTGAGTTACTCTGGGTTGACTGGAAGTCCCTGCTTGGGAAACATAATTTGAATAAGATTTTTCTTACGAACGAGAGCGGTAGTGCTGTGATGGCCGTGTACCCAATTCCTGTAAATGCCAGACTATGCTATGATGTGATATCACAGGATGGTATGTTTTATATGTATGAATGTGTACTACCTGTTTTCACATTATTTTCTTCAAAACTGGGGAATAAGCATTCAAAATTTTGCCTGTTTCTTACACTCTGAGGTTTTGGTATGAGTCACCATCTAAGTCACTACTGGACTAGATGGACCCTTCCATTGATATATACAGTATGGCTGATCTTACGATTTCAGTCAGTTTGTTCCATAAACAAGGCAACGTTGTTTTCTCCCACTTGTTATCCCTTCATCTGAAACCTATAATAATACTTCATCCATGCCTCTGACTAGCTGTGAGTTAGTACTAAGTGGGGATTCAGCTCCTCCATTTCCTACTCCTTTGCATCAGCAGTGGCACAGGCATCTCTCCGTGCAGATCCTTTGCTCCGTGCACGAGTTGCAGCAGATGCTGTTCCTCCAGCAGTGACTCTCCCTGACAGTGACTGACCTTTCAGAATTAGTCTAGAACCCGAGGCTTCTGCAAATACAATAAATGCTCTCCAAAATAAAATTGCATTATTCTATCCCAAATCTAAGTACTATTTATGTTTTAGCATGGGATTATTGAGTTTATTATAGTCTTTTTTGAAATATCCAGAGCCAGCATCTTTTATTACAGATCTATTCTTCATACCCTCCCCCTCCCACCATCACCCCCTGCGTGTATATTTTCCTTACAAATCCATATGGATGACTTGCGTTTCAGGAACATAGTGAGGTCAGGTGCACGCAGGCACGTTCTGTGATAGTGAACTCCATGTACAGATGCAGCTGAACTTTCTACAGGCTGAAGATTAAAATTCTTAGGACTTTTTTTTTTATTTTTTTTAACAAGTGTTAAGGTAACAAAAACGTAAAATGCAGGAAAGCTCTTGAAGCATTTAGTGATTTAATTGTGATTTGTCCTTCTCCTGGTCACACTGAAGCTGTGAATGAAAGCTTCATTTGACACTGATGATGGGAACAACATTGAAAGCACAGCCAAGGACTTGCTTTTGACTGGATAGGTCTTTCAGTCATCACCAAGGTCTTAAAATAAATCACTTTTCCCCATTAAAGCTTGAAAGTGGTCGTTTAGCTACACATTTAGGAATAACCAAAGGTGGGTTGATGGTTAATTCTCGAGCCAAAGATCAACATTTATTGCTTGAGGGGAAACACTGACCACATGGAACCTATGAGCACTCCCAGAACAGGCAAGAACGTTGCGTAGGACACTGCCCAGCAATGAGTGAAATTGTAAAATTTCAGTGCAACTAAACATAGCTACTGGTGAGGCGGCCAGGAGGGCATGGGTGTGTTTGTGCTGTTCTTTTAGCAAGTTGCCATGGGTTTTGTCTGTGGCACTGCTTGAGTTTTCATCTTTCAGTTTGGTAATGTAGGGAAGAAGTTACTTCCTCCCTTGAGAGCAATCCATTGACATGATAAAAAGGTATTTCCCTAGTAATATTAACTAATCTCTTTTAATTTAGATTTTAAAATAGATAATCAACTCTAAAATATGAAATAGAAGATAATGCTTAATAGTATTTCTCTATCACCCTTAAGAAGAGCACTGCAGTTTATTACCCCTAAGAAAAGCACTGTAGTACTTGGGTTGGGTTCCGCCCCCCTTGGTTTTTTTTGGCTACAGGAAGTATGGCCAGTCATCTTACGTAATCTTTTTGCTTTGGGTGGTTGGCAGTTGTGGAGCCATTCCCTGGTGGTTTTGTTGATTATGCAATTAAGAACTGTCAAAAATATGTACTGCAAGGAGCAGGTGTTATATTAAATATATGAAACAAATTTAAAAAAAAAAAAAAAAGTGTTCAGACTGATAATAGGTCAGAAGCAGAACAAAAACTTCCTCAAAGCAATGTGTGGGTTTTTGTTTTTTTTTTTTTTTTTTTCCCCGTTCACAGCAGAAAGCATTTTATCAGAACTACAGATCTACCACTGCCTTTTTTGATTCTTTTTCTCAGTACCAGTTTCTACATTTCTCAGTGGAAATTTTTTTTTTTTTAATGAGAAAAAAGACTAACAACCTTCTGTTTGTCTTCTGCGGGCTGCTTCTCTCCATCACTGGTATTTTGGGTAGGGTTTTTCTAAAGATAAAATGACATCTTCTTAAGCAGACAGTTGACCTGTTCTGCTTCACTAGCTTCTTCTACATGTGTTAAAGAAGTCCCCAAATATACGTCTTGCTATGAGACAGAATACTGCATTCAGTGTTTGCAAGTGACTGCAGTGACTGGGGTGATTTCAGGCTTGCTGAAGTCAGTGGGGAAAGGCAGCTTTGGTGGGCTTGCTTTTTTTTTTTTTTTTTTTTCAAATTACTAGATGAAAAAATTACGTATTTTAAATATTTTAGGAAGGCTTTTGGTGCTGAAATATTAATTTTAGTCATTAAATATTTAAAATCGTAATGACTATTTGGAGTTTAAACTGTTCTTTCTAACCTGCACCAGTTATGTGCTATAACTCGGTCATTAGAAAAACAGATGACAAAATGAAATGTGTTATTTCAGCCCTGTCATTCACGAACAGTGTCAGGAATGAGATATTTTGGGCTTGCATAATTTCTTAGCTAAGAGACAGGAGAGAAAGAGGCTGCAGAATCTGATAGAATAAAGATATATAACTGGGAAAAAAAAAAAAAACACAACTCATTTTTGTTTAAGAAACCCAACACTTTCAACCAGAGCAGAAAGAGGAGGGGAAAAACCCACCAAAACTATATAGGTTTTACAACTGCACCCAGTGGGAAGAGGTAGCAGGCAGAATCTTCTTCTAACACCCTGAGCTCTTCAGTGTTTTCTGTGGTGTGGGCCTGCGCTCTCCTGAAAGCTAAAAGTCGTTTATCTCCATTGAAAGGAAAGCTCCTAACATACTTCTGTATTAATAGCAGCTACAACTGATAAGCCAAATTCTTGCCCCGCCCTTGCAGAGCTGCTTGGCACTGCTGAGCCTGTGCAGCAAGAAGTCTCTGAGTGCTCTTCTCGTGCCTTCAGACCGGAGCGTATATACCCGTTAGTCATAAATACATTGAGTCAAAAAAGAAATTTATTGGGAGTGTATTTTTGGTATTCTGCGCTTTTGTCAGCGCCATCCTAGCTGCAGAAACCAAATGGTGGCTTTATCTTTGTGGAGACGGGAACCATACTGATGGCACCTTTTAGGATGTCTGAAGTCCTGTGTGTGGACATTTCTATTTGGAGACAGAATATCCTATTTTGGTATAACTGGCCCTATAGAAATTTGACAAAGATGTGTTTGTTCCAGAATAATTCCCAAGTCAATGAAATACACGTGTGCTTATCTTTGTGCTCAGGTTTATTAAAATAGGTGGAGTTGTGTAATTTGAAAGTCAGGCATGTTTGTCAGAGGCATTGGGCAGGGGTGGGGTGTCCAGGAGTCCTCAGCTGGGCTTGACCTGAATATATCGTTGTACAATAACAAGAGCAGCTCCAAGCTGTGCATAGCTAAACCTCAGCAAGCCACCTCCAAACCCAGCCATGTGTCTTCCCCTAGTCACGGGCGAACATTTTGCAGCTGGCTGACAACAGCTGCTGGGGGATTGCCTAAGCAAGCTGCAAATTCACCTTCCCCAGTGCAAGGTACCTGCCCAGAGGGATGTGCGGGAGGATTTTGCTCAGCTTCTCCGGCTCGAGTGAAACCCGTCCTGCCCGTGGGGCCAGTGTGGGGAGCCGGACTGGGGTGAAGGAGGGATCCTGCATGGGTCCTCTCAGTTTGGAAAGAGGAGGCTGGCTTTTAACAGCTAAGGAGGCAATAGGATGTTTTTGTAGCTGGGGGTGGGTGTAGGTGTTGGCTGTCAGTGGCTGGGTGGCATGTGGGAGAGGGGTAAGGGGAAAAGGCAAATCGCTAATCCTTTTCCCACTGCGGTTGTTTTTAGGCAAGTGGTGTGTGTGTAAGTAGCAAGTGAATAAAGCTGCTGAGCTCTTCCCGCGTGGGTACCTGTCCTGAGAAAACTGGCTGGCTTCCACAACTGCAGAGGTAGCTAAAAATTTATCTGGGTTTCCAGTGAAAGAGTAGATTTAAAACATAAGTCAATGACAAGCTTTTTTTGATTTGGTCTCATTATACACGTCCCTACACGGAGGTTTTAAAACCACGGACGCGGTGAAATTTATCCTGAGTTTTAGCTAGCCTGCAGGATCCAACCAGTTTGTCTCTCCGCATAACTCCGTTTCGGAGAAACGGTTGAGATTGTGTTGACGCAGATGTTTTAGCACCTGCTGGGCCTCGGCCGTGGTCACGCAGGGCTGTGCTTGGGTGCTGGGAGCAGGGCACGGGCAGCACCGCCCCGGCCGGGGCTGGGGGCTGGGGGCTGGGGGGGGGCTGGCTGCGTGGAGCTGTCGGGAGGTGGGTGCAAGGATGAGCCCCAGGGCAGCACCCGGAGCAGTGGAGAAAAGCACTGACTTCCAGAGATGGACAGGTGTCACTGAACCTTCACGTAACTACGACAAATATCCTCAGACGAGGACTAACGCAGTGCTTCTAAAATGGGATTTTTTTAAAAAAATTAATGAGTTCTTAGCTATAGTTAATGCAAACATGTTTTCTGGTCTACATAGCACTGAGCCTGGTTCTTTCCAGTGTCTGCTAATGTCTAGCCAAAGAGATAATGACCTTCAAATGAGTACTAAATGCCAATCTGATGTCTGTTTTGTTTTATTTCCAGGTTGATTTTTATTTTATTACAAACCAGTGAAGATGACACCGAAACATGAAAAACAAGTAAGTCATGCCTAAGCTTTAATAAAAAGGGATTCTAGTTTGGTGGTTATGGATTGAATTTCATTAAGGTTCGCAAGGACCAGGAAAGATTGCTTGTATTCTTCCTGCTTTTAATTGCAAGGCTGCAGAATATTCTGGAGCGATGCAGTGCCAGTTCCTTCTGTTAAAAGTTTGATAGAAGAATCAAATATTAATTGGATCTGAGAAGAGAGTAAGTGACTCTGTGCATGAGGGGCTCAGACACTAAGACAGGAGAGAAGGACTTGAATTTCAGTCTTCTCTCCATCAGTCTTCAGGTATTTTGTGGGACATAATGATTGGAGCTGGGTCTGAACTCTGATTACCAAATGCATGGACAACAAGAATCACACTTGCACATTCTCTTTTGCTCAGATCCAATGAACATTAGAAGTTTCAGACAAAATAGTTTGTTCAGCTGTTAGTCTCTTATCAGCCTTACAACTCAACACATATGGGAGTGAAGATGCCAAAACTCCCAGCATGAAAAGCCCCCATGTCCTTTGTGGTTGATTCTTTTACTAATAGGCAACCTGATGGGAAACTCTACTTTTCTCAGAAGCTTTGTGGAAAATGACTCTTCAGGGGTTATTGACTAATCAGATGTGTAACAGTGGCACTGTGGAGCATGAGGTTATCACTTGATACGGTCCTGAGCACAGACACTTGAATTCAAATGCAGCTGGAATGATTAATGCAAAAAACCATCCAATGTGAGATTATTTTTATTCCTTTTCCTTGTGGTAGATTTTTTTCCCTATATTAAAAATAGATGTTTCCATGTCAGACTCCCTATTTTCCTAATAGGAAAATGTTAAAAAGAGACTTCTCAGAAACAGTTTTTGTGGTCAAATTCTATATAATAGAGCTTCTGGTTTATCCTTGTGTCTGAGCAACCCATTGCATCATGCAATTTCTAACAGGAGAAAGGATGAATGGGGAAAGGAGAGGGAAAAGAAAGAAAAAGAGTTCTTGTGTTTGTTTCAGCTGCTTTCTGCTTTTACGGTGTATTCTTCCTTTTGAAGCAAATCCAAATGGGAACATTTCAGTTTGCAGTGCTTGTGTCTACATAGCATCAGTGCTGCCTTTTTCCTCAGCCGCCGGCACTCATGTTCTTTGCATAGGACTGTAACGATGAGGGAGTAGTTGTAAACCAGGCTTGGGGTCACTTTGGCCATTTTGTCATTTATGTGTGACCCTAACTACTTGGACTGCTTCAGGCCTTGAGGATGGGGTAGCAAAATGCCATCAGCGACATGCGTAAACTGGCTGTTTTAGCCAGGAATTAAAAGGCACATGTAGCCAAAGAAGCTGCTCTGCTGATTCCTGCTTGCTAAGTATTTATGACTACTTCGGGGGCAGATTTTAAGTTCTTCATGAGGATGTTTGGGCCAGCATGGCTGCTGGGATCCATATCAAAGCTATAGCAGTAGCAGTTTGGGTAGGAAATGTTTTGTGTATGAATTTAGCAGTTTCCAGGGAGAAGGAATAAATGGAGATGCCACTTCTTCCAGTAGCTTTCTGTTCAGTCTACGTTGTTCCCAGTGCAATAGGCCTCCATGACTAAGGTTGGACACTTTGAACTGTCAGCAGTAAGTTCCAGTTTTGAGACAATTATTGCAGTTAAGCAGTAGAGGATACATACTGTTCCTGAATGACAGATACACTTGTATTGTGCTCCTCAATATAAAACCAACCAACCAAACAAAAACCAAAATGGAAAATAATGTGGTGTAATAACTAGATCTGCAATTCTGGAAAAAACAAGCAGAACTGGGCAGGGAAAGAAGGCACCCTGAAAAGAATTGCAGCTGACAAAAGTAAAAAGTCCCTGAAACCTTGGGTCTCTTTGGGGTCTCCTCCTTGCCAGGTTGTACGGCTGGGCTGCAATGCAGTCTTGTGACAAAAGATGAAGTTAGTCTTCACGTGGGCTGTGGGAGGAAGAGGTTGGCCTCACCTCCCCTGGGTGAATAGTACATTACTTGAAGATAGACATGTCTACTGAGATTATCCTAGTTTTTATAGCAAGATGGGGAGGGAAGATAGTATATACAGAGGAGAAAGGTAATTATTACCCAAAACTGTTGTAATCTGGTAACTGTTTGTGATGAGTGAATGCAGGATGGACTGAACATACATCAGGATTCTGGTATTCTGCCACCTAACTCTGCTTGGACCGTAACATAGCCTATATGTGAATATTGGCCTTTACAAGTCTACTTTAATAGGGATAGGGAGGCATAAGCACCTTTTCTGGCAGTGTATCTGCATCTATTCTGGACGGTTAGGGCTGCTTTGATTAAATCAATATTGTTGTCCCAGAGGGGTCTTGTATCCTGGAGAAGGCTTAAAAGTCAAAAGAGAAGGAATAGTGTGCATGTGCAATGCCTCTGTTTCAGAGAGGCAAAAACTGTAATGGGAATTGGGATTAACATTTTCTGGATTCAAACTGCTTATAGAGGAAGTAACCGTATATCTTGAGAAAGGCTGTACATTTTTGGCTTTGTTTTCTAGTTGCTTAATGTTTATCTTTCTTCATTCTGAACTCAGTCCTGGTGTTCTTTGGTAAATAAAGGAAAAAAAAAAACCCAACCCACACCCCCAGTCTTCTGCTGAAATCCTGATGTTTCTAAGTGGAGCTGAGACTGTGTGGGGGCTGGAGTGCTCTGCTGTTCTGCAGATCATTTTTACTCTTGGTTCAGTGATACACTACTGCCTAGACACCTGTCTGCCACACCATATACAGCAGATCTCCTCTACAGGTAGAGTCTGGAGGGTGCTTGACTTCCTCTAGTATTGACATTTGGTAACTATTTAATCGGAAATTAAAAGTGTGTAGAGTTTTTTTGTGTAAATCACGTGGTCTGGAATGATTCGCAAGGTTTCCCGTAGCTAACCCACAGCATATCCCATAGTAACTTTTTAATTGTAATACTTTCGTGTAACAGAAGTTGAAAGAAGCATTTTACTTTGAAGATTATTTGGATTCTGTACAAAGGAGAGGGTCAGAGGAGGTTACTTGAGAAGGAAGTAATTTGGGGAACCTAGACAAAAGGAGGGGCAATGAGAAGCTGGTGTGGTGGTAGATGAGCGGAAGGGGAGCAGGGTTCGGTTGTGAGCCCGCAACCTGCGCTTGTGGCTCCTGGGCTGCAGCACTGAAGGGGAGAGGAGAGCAGTGTCTCATTTGAAGGTTCCTCGCATAATTCCTGTTCTTCCACTTGTAGGACTGAAGTGCTTGGGAAGGAAGAGAAAGTATGTTCTTTTCTATTTGAAGGACAAGTGGTTGCAGGTCTGGGGAGGAGTGGGGCACAGGGAAATAGGAGGCTGGGGAGGGCAAAACGTTGGGAGAACATCAGAGTGTGGATATGAAAAGATGTTACAGTGGGTCCAAAAGTATGCTGTGTCTGTATCTGTCTGCTAAATATGATAGACAGTGAGGCAGGTGAGGAGAAAAAAAAAAAAAGCAGCAAACAAAAAAAACCCCACCCAACAAAAAACAAACCCCCCAAAAAGAAAAATGGTTTTCTCTCCTTTGTTTGGCACATTGCTCAGATCTGCTCAGGAGGGGTAATAACTTCCTCATGTCTCCCACTAGTGTTTTTGTAAAAGTAAAGGCATGACCCTCAGCTGGTAGAAGTGATTACAGCTCTGGTTGTTTGTTTCTTTTGTGCCATGTTGGCATGGAGTTAAAAAGCTGCAGGGGAGAATCAGGCCTTCGATGCTCTTCAATGAGGAAAGAAGTGACAGAGGTGGCAGGAGCCCTTCAAGGGGGCTTTTTTTGGCAAGGTGCTCATGACATGCACCAAAAGGGTGTCCAGCAGTAATGCAGAAAACACCCCTGTGACCAGGAGCTGGGTTAAGTGAAATAAAACTGTGGGCTGTATCCAGCCATCAGGCCAGAGGCTCCCCATCCCTGAAACAGTACTGTCTGGAAATCAGTGTGGTAAATGATTTATTCCAGCCCATGACCACCTCCCTGCCATGTACAGACTGCAGTGGCTGTTCAGGGAAAAAAAAAAAAAACAAACCAAACATCTTTTCCATTCAAGGTTGTCAGTGTTCTCCTGTCAGTCCACTGAAGGTTGCTGCTGGTGGCACGCTGAAGTGGGGGGGGGGGGGGGGGGGGGGGAGGAAGACTGGGCTAAAGAGTGAAGGTTTCTTTTCTGACATCTGTGGTTCAAGCATGGAAAGACACATTTTGAGAGATTTCTAGTTCAAGATTTCTTGATTTATGCAAAGTCACACTAAAAAAGCACGTTATTTACCAGAGACTTTGTCATTCCTCCCACAGTCGATTCCTGTACCTGGAGATCTTGTGCAGTGACTTCCTCTCAGAGGGAATGTATCTACAGCTTAAAATGATATGGCTTTCTTTAACTGAGTCATCGTTTAAGTGGTTGGCTTAGCTCTTTGGGTGAATAGCTTATTTAAGCAACTGAAGTAGAGCAACCTACTTGTTGCCGGGGAAATAGCAGGTAGTTAGGCACATTTTCAACCTTTGTATTTTAAACAACCCTCTTCCATCCTCTATGAACATAGAGGTTTACCATTTTGGGGTGTGTGTGTGTGGGGTGTGTGTGTGTGTGGATTTGATGTTTGTTTTGTTTTGTTTTTTAAACACGATACAAGTTTTCACATGGTCATTAGCAAAGGATACTTGGAAGAGTGTAATTCTTCAGCCTCTTCTAGTTCCTGTTAGTGATACCCAGTTACATGACAGTAATGCCCACAGGCATCACACTCCTTCGGGATCCCTCTAAATTATTATATAAACGTAGGAATTAAAAGGAAATAGACTGTATATGACAACTTCTATGACAAATACTCTATATCACTGTCCCCCCAAAAATGAGGAATTGTGCTCTGCAGTGTGGCTGTTTTGCTTCCTTGGGCAGGCTGTTGGACAGACTGGGATATAGCAGTGCCCGGGTCCTGCGTCCTCGGGGGTACTCTGTGTATCAGGAAGTGTTATGAGGCTCGGTAGAGGAGGAGGATTCATCTCCTTCCACACGGCATCCAAGACACTAAGCTTGAGACCTTCAATTCCCTGTGTTGAATCTGTGTCTGGGGCAGTTAACAGTGGCACATCCTTTCCCCACTGGGCTGGAGCAAGTAATTTGGGGTGTAGAAAAAGGGCATTTTTTTAGCTCCATGTGGAGGTACCAAGCACTTACCTCCGATCCCTGAAGTCAATGGGTATAAATGCTTGTTTTTAAAAAACATAGGTACAATAGCAAAAGAAATTTAGGAGCAAATAAAATACTCTATGTATGTATTGGGCACATGAAGCAGGTTTGTTACACATTCTTTGTGAATGTTGACTAAAAGGGTGGGAAGAGCCTAGCTCTCTCTTACATGTGTGATTTTGAACATTAGCATCTTAGTTTGTAGCTACTGAGATCACTGTCTCCCATGCAAGAAACATATATGACTTTTCACAGGATTACTTAATCTGAAATACTCCTTTTCAGCTAGCATTTTGGCAGGGAATTTCCCGGACATGTGGTGTAGCTCAGATGATTCATTACTTCTTGCTTCTCCTTTTATAGGGTTGCAAAATTCAATAAAACAGCAGTTCAGCTTTTAATCTGAGCACAGTAGTTTGTGGAACAGCAGAGCAAGCAAGAGAGTCTTTCAGGCTCCTTTTGTCTTCTGAAATTAATTGCTTGATTTTTATTATGCACTTGCAGGAATTTGTAACTGTCTTGGTGCGAGACCCCAGGACACAAAAAGAAGACTCGTGGCATTCTTACATAGACTATGAGATATTTATTCATGTAAGTATAAAAAATACCTGTGCAGATTCTTTGGGCTGTTATTGCTGCTTCTGTCAGGTATTAATGGAATTTCTTTACACCACTTCTGGGAAGCTGGAGGATATTACTGTCCTTTTAACAACTGAGACGTAGTGGAACAGGTAAGGTGGGTTGGCCAGAGGCCGTGCAGAAGGTCTGTGGCAGAGCTGGGAGGTGAACCTGGTATTGTGTTCACACGTGCACTCCACAGTGTCTTGCAACAGAGACGATTCTTAGCTTTACTTATCAGCTAGAAGATTGTCATAGTCAGTGATGTTTTACCATTATAGAAGTTTGGTGTTCAGATATTCATGGGAAAACAATTTTCTTTGCAAGTAATTATCTGGTTATTTGTACTTTAAATTCTCCTGAGTTCTTTTTGCCAAGTTATTTGGTTGCTGCAGTGTGGTTGTTTTCAGTGTGCCTTGACATTCATATTATGCTAGTTTAGTGGTGCTTGGATATGTCAAGTAACTACATTTGGGTTTATGACTGTAGTCTACCATATGTCAATGGGAGTGCATTTAGAATTACAGTTCTCTTGTGTCTTAAATCTGTCCTATACGTAATTTTATCTTGTTGATTATTCTTCTTTGGTGGATGACTCACAGAAGGAGTTATCCCAAATCTAGATCCAGGCATTTTAATTGCAATGTAAAAAAATTTTTTGTGAAGTGTATCAAGTAGCAGGTGAATTTGAGAGCACTGAGTTACATGGTTAATGCTTGGCACAAGACCAAAAGCATTTCCTTCCTGTGTGGGAGTTAAGCACGCAGCATAATGAGAGCAAGCAGTCAAATGATAGCTTATTAAATGTCCATCGTGACAAGTACTTCTCTCCTGTGTGGCAATCAGAGCTGTGAAACTTTTACATTTTGCAATGTGGTTTATGTACTGGTTCCCAAGCAATTATATTTTTGACTTCTGATAAATAGAAATTCTGTAGATTCGGTGGGATGGGTGCTGTGCTGTATTACTTTTTCATCAGCACTTGTGCTTCTGAATATATATTACTTATATGTATTTTTATATATCTCTATATATATATAAAACACGTATTTCTATAATAGCCAGTATATTACTGGCTTTCTCAGCGACTGTTAAGTTGGGGTGATGTCGTTTAGAACCCAGTGTTATATGATTCAGCACTGTGTGTCTCTGAAGCTGATAAGCATCAGCTTCATCATAAGGATCAGCTCAGCTTCCTATCAGCACAGTGCCAGGGCTTTCAGAGACCGTATCTCTAGTTCAGCCCCACCATCCACACTTCGCAATGGATTAAAAATTTTGGGTCTGCCAGGCTTTTAGACCAGATGGGTTCCCCTTCTTCCCAGCTCCTAGAGCATTTGGCTTCTTAAACTGTAAGGTAACCCAGATACCCATCTATTCCAGAAAGCTGGCATCTTTGGCCCCTCTTCAGTCTGCATCATTTGGCTGTCTTGGAGCTGTGGCTCCTGGCAGGCGACTGAGGGTGGGTTGGACTGCAGGCAGATTCGTAACAGTCCTGACTGGTGTGCAGGGTTTCATCTAAGTATATGCTCCACAGGAAAATTTGGCAAAAGCATTTAATTTCCGTTCATTGTTTCTTTTTTGATGAATTGGCATTTTTCTAGTGGACTAATAGTGTTCTGTGGGACAATTTCCAAATGTTGCTACTTGCAGAGAGCAGTCACGCTAGTTTCTTTGATTTAAGTAGGATCGCACACTGGAAGAGCTCTATGTAGCTAACAGTTTGCAGGTTTACAACTAGAATAGCTAAACAGGACTTTTTTTTCCCTGCAGAGATTGACATTATCTGCTGAAACTTTTTTTCTGTGATCTTTTTTCCTATTACTGCAAGTTGTGCCATAATCCAGATCTCTTGCTTTTAAAAAGAAAAAAAGCGATGAAGAGTATTTCCCTGAGAAGCAGTAGAAACTGTCACCAGTCCTGTTCGGGATAAAGCACAGTCCTTCACCTAAACTGAATTAATGTCAAGCTTTCCATTGGTGTCTCAGGGATTAGCATCTCAGATGTGTCTTTAATACCATGCTTGCACTTTAGTTTAAGCTGATTTACAAAGTAAAATGTTTTTTATTTCCCAACAGACTAACAGTATGTGCTTTACAAGGAAAACATCCTGTGTTAGACGACGCTTTCGAGAATTTGTTTGGCTTCGGCAGAGGCTTCAGAGCAATGCAGTGCTTATGTGAGCAACTTGATATATGGCTATTTCATAATCTGTCAATTATGGAAGGGGACAATTGTTTCATTTTAACGCTGAGAATTACAAAAATTGGACCTGAAAAGTGCCCTGTGTGTCTTGCTAGCACAAGCTTATTCTGTACAAGGCATTTTCTCTGCTTTAAACCCGGCAGAACGTAGTTTGCACTGGCAGCCTTTGTTTGGTGAGCCCCCCTCTAATTTGTAACAGATTTGATCTGAGTTGCCTTTTGCAATGCACAGGTAGCAGAAATAGAAATCTGGCATAGGTGTACATACCTCCTCTCTGAGCTTTTAGGATGTGCTTAGGTTCTGCAAGGACCGTGTGAGACCCGGCCAGGCATGCATGCAGGCTTAACAACTGGACCAGAATAATCAGATGAATTTGTTTTTCCCTTTGAGCTATGGGAGAAGCCCTCCAGTTTCTCAGCCTTGTGTTCCCAAATTCAATTTCATGAGCTTCTGGAACATGACCTGTGATTTTTCACATGCTCAGGGTTGGGATCTGTTTAATGCATTTTCTCTCTGACGTTTCAGATCTAGTTTTAACTGTGTATTTGCTTCTTGTTTATAAAGACAGCTACCTGAACTGCCATCTAAAACTCCCTTTTTCAATATGAACAATCCTCATCACGTGGACCATCGCCGGCAGGGTCTGCAAGAATTCCTGGAAAAGTAAGTACAGCCTATGCTAGAGATGTCAGCGTTTTTAGGACGTCATCGGTTTTCTGGTTTAAAACAGCTGATCTCTGGTACTTGAGAGCCACCGTGTGGTCATCTGTACATGTTACACATTTGGTTTTATTTTTATTTGCACAGTCATATTTCATACACGTGACTTCAGCTCTGTTGGTTATAAAGCAACTTCAGCTGGGGCTTTTTCATTGTGTTTCACTACCTTGATTATAAATAATAGTTTCATATATATGTCACTTTGAAATTGTGTGCTAAGGTTGGGAGATGTCATTTCTAGCTTTCAAGAACGAGCTAGGTATTCTCATACAAAGAAACAGACTTCTCTCCCTCTTTATGTTCATGGAAAATTAATGTCTGTGTGGGCTAAACCCTTGGGAGCCTGGGAGAACTCTGTAGCAAGATCTCCTAACACAGGTATTTCCTATAATGCCAGTTACGTTGTTTGCCAGTCCCACTAACATAAACAAGCTGTTAGCATGTGTGACCATTTTCAGGACGGTTGCAATCTGTATAAAATCATTCATGACTTAGCTAGAGTCTGACCAGTAGTGTTACAAGGGAGTACCGTATGCATTTCATTACTGCACCCCTCAGTCCTGCTTCTGCAGTGGCAGAGACCCTGTTGGTGTAATTTTCTGCTTTCTCTGCCGTTCTCGTAGTACCCCAACACTGTCAGTGTGAGAGCAGGCTGGGGCAGGAATTGCACACACATTTGTAAGGCTTTCTTGAGCCACTGCTCAGGGTAAGGACATGGTAAAACACTGAGAGGAGAGACCATTCATCTTCTTTCAGTATCAATGTGAATCAGAACTGCATGAGCAAAGGAAAAAGACAAGTCATTTAAGTAGGCTTTAGACCTTGTGATCAGCGGGTGGAGGAATATTAGACCCACTATTTTTCCAGCCAGTGTATTTTAAGCCTCCCTAACAGACAACAAATCATTGGTCCTGAGGTATATTTATTAGGTTTAACAGCTGAAGGCACGGAGAGCTAACCACTGCAGGAATAATATTCTGCATACAGTTATATAGGGTCTGTGGCCAAAAGGATAGCAAACAAATACTGGTTGAAGGCATGTGAGACAGGGAAGGAAAGGGAAAGCAGAAAAGGACCGTTTTTTTTTCCTGCACCACAGGAAAGGAGGACAGTGAAGTAGAGTGACTGTGCTTCTGGAGGCGATAATATTAATGGTCAGGTGAAGGGTGTGGTAGTTCAGGTCCCTGGGTCTGAGCAGTTCTAGCTTAGCATTGCTGCCTCATGGAGTAGTGTGTTTCCAAAATCACTCGTATTTTAAAATTCCAGAGAGGCCAATCTGGTAACAAGGTACAGTATTTCAGCATCAAAAATATTTACAACTGCTGCCAGTGCTTCAGAAGGCAAACCAGAGAGTTAGATTCTCTTAAAACACATCCTCACTCTCCAATTTTGTGGATGTCTGTAGCTTAAATGAGTACTGACAGCAGAAAATGGCAGCATGTGGAACATTTTACCTTGCTGCTGTTAGTCCAGGAGTGGGAAAAGAGGCATCTCTGTTGCAAGGTAATGATTTAGATGCTTGAACTTGGATGCTGTTTAGGAAAGGTGTCAGCTTTCTCTCAGCCCTGGGGAGCAGCTGGAAGGAGTTTTCAGAGATAGAGTTCTGTTGTGATGAACTGGCTTGGCACCTGATGTGCTGTACCATTGCCCTCTGCTGGCTGCCACCTCTGGGCTGCTGCTCGCAGAAGGGATCTTTTTACTGGCTCAGCTAGGCTGCCATGATGCTTTTTTTTTTTTTTTTTTTTTTTTAATAATGAATCTGAAGCAAAGATTATGATTTCTTTCTCTGAAATTGATTTTGTGGATTTCATTAACAAGCGTACGTGTGTACTTGGCTTTAGTAAAGCTCTAGCTCTGGATGCTGCAAGTTCTGTAGCGTGTCAATGCTAGGGGGAAGCAGGACCTCCCTGGTATGTTCGGAAGGGGGTGAGAAAGGAGCCAGAAAGGAGTTGCATGGGGTGGCATAACCCAGAACTGCGAAGCTGAGTGCTCCGTTCTCCCCAGCAATGACAGCAGTCACCGTGCATGAGCTCACAGCCCTGCTGGTGTTTCTTTGTGGCAGTGGGATAAAATGGGATTCAAGCCCATGTGGTCCTGCAAAGGGAGAGGTTCGCAGGGAACATTTTTCACATGCCTGCATGGGATGCAAGGACCTGAGCACCTCTCGGCGCTTGGTGCCTTGGTGAGGTTATCAAGGTCCAAGGCGTCTCTGAAAGGGAGTTCAGATCTTCCACAGTCTCGGTTTGTGCCCTGTGCCTGTTGCTGTGTGAGCAGGTTGCTGTCGTTTCTTCCCGGGCAGGAGCCACGAGCCCGAGGGGTAAGGATCGAGCGGCTGGAGGGTCTCTGATACTCAGCTCCTGGCCCTGGGAGCGCCTCCGTATTGCCTGGATGTGAATGGTTATGGGATGCTCTTGTCCTCCTTCACGTGTGACTCCAGAACAAGCTAGCACAGGGCAAGGTGCATACTAAGAGCCTTCACGAAGCCTCTCAGTGCTGAGCCGCAGTAGCGTGAGAATTAGGCCAACAGCTGGAAACGAAAGCAAAGCACTGGAGTTTGGTGAAATCTGGAAACAGGTGTCCCATTTTGATTTGGCTTTCCTGCACAAATGCAGGGTAAGACCTGCTTGTCTTATAGGTTATTATCTCTGAGTGATAAAAAGCTGTAAAGCTCACTTCTCGTCTGGGCGTAACTTAATATTTCAAGAGGCCATTTGCCTTAGCGGAAGTCAGCTAGCCCCTTTTCAATTATGAAATGCTTCGTAAGAATAAGGAAAATTAGGTGTTTTTTCCTGGTAAGTGTCCTCATCCTTTGAGGAAGGCTGTAAATTCACAGGAAAAGCTTATTCTTAAATTAGAAGGCAAAATTAAAACACTGTCTTTTAATATTATGTTTTGTAAGATCCTCTTTGCTTTCATCCTTTTGTAGCTGCACAGGTTTAACTTTGGGATTTAAACTACCTTCACAGAAGATCATTTGGGTTTGCTTATTAGAAAAGTCATTAACAAAACCATTTTAAATGAATTGGGGTTCAATCACTGGCTTTTTTTTTTTTTTTTTTTTTTTTTTTTTTTTATTGAATACAGTTGAATCCCCCAAAATTATGTGGTTTAGGAAGAAGGATTAGTCTTCAATTACTTTTCAAATGTGCAGTTTAGGATGGGGCGGGAGACATACTGGGAGTTTCGAGAAAAGCAGCGCTTGGATCCCCAGGAGACGAAGGGCATCCGCAGCGTCGCTGCTCCGGACGGCTGGCCGTGCGTCGGGCTCACGGGGCGCTGGAGCGAGCCAGCCACCCCAAACTCGGCTGCCTAAGGCAGAGCCGTTCCCTGGGGGTGGCTGGGGCTGTGCCCTCCTCCTCCTCACACCTCCTTGCCTTCAGTCCCACAAGCCAGGAGCTGGCGGAGGGTCGGAGGACTCTCCCGGGGGTGTCCCTCCCCGCGGGGTGCTCTCTCGGGGGGTTGTGGAAAGCGGGAGGCTGGCTCCAAAAGGGACGGGTGCCAGGTTGCTGGGGCTCAGGTGGGAGCACCGGTGGCCGTGGGGCAGGCGGGCTCTCCTCGGGCGAGTACTGGCTTCCTCTTCTCCACGGAGCCTTGCTCATCTTTCCAATCTGGTGAGCAAAGTGAGTAACATGCCTAGCCAGGCGCACGTCACCTAATCCTTTCCTAAACGCATGCATAATCGGACGCCCAACAGTTGCTTCGCAGTTGCCTGCCATCAGTAATGCTTCCTCCCTTATAAAAAACGGAGGAGGAAACGCAGTCAGCTTTTTTAAAAGAGGAACCCGGGGCTTTGTTTGCTGAGGGGCTGGGCCCTCAATAGAGGGCACCACAGCCCAGGCTGTCATCCCCGGCCTCTCCGCTCCTGGGTTTTCTCTTCCCTGCGCGCTCATGGTATGATGTCAATGGGCAGAATAAATTTGTCGAAAACAAAATCAGAGTGTTAACCTTCCACACACATGCAAGTGTGCATCTGTCATTGTATTAGGTTACAGTAGATACAGGAAATCTTTAGTTAGGATTAAGTTGTACTGTTCAGCCATATGTTGTTCTCCTCCAGCAGAACAGTGTATAATATACCTAATAAAATCACGTTGAAGAAAACCAGATTTTGGACCTTGTCCAAATAAGACAAAACACATGTTTTGTCTTTTGTAAATGTTCTTGCTGTAGCACAGGGAAGGAGAAATACGCCTCGTATAGTATCCAGCATTTCCTCAAAAATGACATTATTTCTTCTGGTCGTGAAGTGACGATTGTCGGCCCTGCTTCTTTAAAGGTCTAGAGATGATGAGCATTTACTGAAAGCTTACAAACAGAGATTCACATGGCTGCGAATAAAAAATGATTTTATTATCTCTAATTCAAACGTAGAGCCTTATCCTGCAGCCCCCTTAATCACATAAGTAGTCATTATGTATGTGAGCAATCTGGCTGAAAGGAGTGAGATCTCTGACAAGTAATGGCTACTGATGGGATCAAGACTTGCAGGATTTAGCCTTTCGTTCTTACTCCAGGCGTGCATAGAAAGTCTGTTGTTCTCTTAAATATGCCCAGTCAGTTCACAGGAATTATCACCGTGAGCCATGGCTCTTCCATTAGCGCGACGGCAGCAAGAGCTGATTTACATCACTGTAACTGCAGCTTTGCACCGACACTGGCTGTAATAAAACTGTTGGAGAGGCACTGGGAGTGCTACTGGTTGTGTTTAAACTGCGCACGCGTTCAGCCTCTGCTAAGACATCCGAGTATCAATATTGTGACGCTCCACCTTTCCCCCTGCCTTTTTAATTTGGTAGGCGATGTTTTGTAATTTTGATTTTTAAAGTCCTTGGAGTCAAATCTGCTTTTTCTTAGATGTACAACCCTCTGCACAGTGAGTCCCCCGGACAGCAGAAGCCCTGCAGAGCAACTGATATACCAGCACTTAATATTGCTAGTAACATCTGGTGACAAATGTATGGTTATTTCCTTGAAGAAGGAGTATTTTGAACAGGAAAGCATAATGCTTACGGACAGCACAAATTTATTTTTCATTTTGATTGCTTGAAGGATGCAATTAAAAAGCCATCTAACCTGTTGGTTCAGATAGGGGGGTAGCAGAAGTTATTTTTTAATTAAAGGAAGAAATGCTTTCAGGGTATGACTGGGTGAAAGGTGTTCCTATATTTGCTTTCAAGATGGTTTTAAATGGTTTGCAAAATGCATTGAGTGTTTGGTTCCTTCCTGCATTGTGACTATATGTGTATATATATATGTATAATATCACATATATATATATAGGTATATATGTGATTAGCTTTATGAACATTCCATTTCTTCAGCTTGGTTTCTTTTCACTACTTTCGCCTCCAGATGGCACTATGAAGCAGAAAAGAAAATTACTGTGAAATAATGAGTCCAATGTAAAGTAAAATTGGAAATTGAATTATAGCTGCAGAAAAAGGACAGTAGCCTTGAGGTCCTGATCAGTCTGTACTCTTATCACTTTTGTTTGCTGTTCCATGTGTTAGGTTACTGCTGAGTTAATAACAGTGCTTTAGCAGTTCAAGGCTTAGCAGAATTGTACTGGACATGAAATAAAGCTAAAATGAATTTGTGTCCAATATCATTGACATTAGTGCTCATTACTTCTCTAGTGTAATGCCTCAAACCATCTAAAATCAATTTTAAAGATTACCCATTATTTTATAAAGAAAATAAAATACATTTCAAACAGCAACAGAGCTGTAAGTGTAGTGTAATCTCATGAACAGTTAGTTACTTGTGTTTTCGCTGGTTGGCAGGAAACTTTTGAAGGTACGGGAAAAGGAAAAATCTGTGAAATGAAACGCCATCCACAGAACTTAATGTCTTGGCTTTTTGCTGGGTTACTTGGTATTAGACACGCAAATGTTAAAATTGCAGAACTGTGCATCCCCTCATTGTGCTTGCAAGCCTGGGAAAAACAGTAACTCTACTCTACAGAAAACTCCGGCATCTTGTTGGGTTTTTTGGTGGGGTTTTTCTGTTCTTTTTTTTTTTTTTTTTTTTTTTTTGTTTTGATTTGGTTTGTTTAAGAGGAAGAAAAGAGGAAGGAGAATATTTACTCCCCCAACTGCATAAACTATAAACATGGATTTATTGTGTGGAATGGCACTTTTACTTTTTGTTGCAATGTTTGTCTTTATTTGGAATGTGTGTTTATCAAGAGTCTAGGCTGAAATCCTCTTTTAGTAGTGGCTGAATGATGGCTTTTCAAACTGTGTTCATGAAGCTGTTGCTGTCAATGTGTGTAGACCTGTAGATTCTGTGTTTTGAATAATTTTTACACAGCATTTGCCGGCTTCTTTTAGACTATGAGAAACTTTTCCTGTATATTAATACACTGCATGCATTGATTTTACAGACGTTTATTTTAAAGTAAAATTGTGAGAATTTAGATTGGATTAAAAAGGCTTTCTCTAGGTATGAAAGTGTGCTTATTTTAAACTTCAGCGAAATCTGGTTCTTCTAAGACTGAATTTCAAATGCACCTGGTAGATCATTAGGGTCACTGCAAACATTTCCTCATTGGAAGGTGTCAAAGTTTGAGTTATTTGATTGAGACTCTGTGTGTGTTTACCTAGGCAAATGAAATGTGCATGTACACAAATATCCTGCATTTTCAGTTAGATATCTCTTTTTACTTATTTTGATTTGACAGATTTTTATAGGCTTAGATGAAGCCAGAAATCCTTTAGTGTATTTATTAAATGTTATTGTAATGTTGGCCACTTTAGAGAACAGTTTTCAGAACGTATATGTGTTTTAAAACATTACAGTCTGAACACACCATCAATCTTATTCGAGAGAAGGAACTAATCAGTTATACATTTCATTTTAGTTGGAGTACCTATGGAATGCAATATTTCTTTCTGCTTTTACTAGTTTTTACATTAATGTCGTATCTTGTTTCCTACTGCATAGCAATGACTTTTTTGGTAACCTAAATGGGTAGAAATAGGTAAATACTGATTCTTAATAGTTTTGATTTGTTTAAAAATAGTTCAATATTTTTCTGTAGAACACTGTTTGGCATGGTCACAGGTTCTGATGACTCTATTACATGAGTAAAATTACATGTATATATAAAAAAAGTATCTTCTTAATCATTCTAGGATTTTTGTATTAAGGAGCAGCAAAGTTGCCCTTTTTTTTTTTTTTTTCTTTTCCAAAATAGCGATAATGATCCTCAATTCTCAGTCCCTGCTGAAGTATCTCTAAAACTTTCTGTTACTGAAATGTACTGTATTTTGTTTACCCTCATTTGATACAAGCAAATACTCTGTGCTAAATTTATTGAAGACTTTGTTAAAATACATACAAACCAAAGATTAAATTAGGCTTTTGAAAAGTATGGCTGGAACGAAATAGTATTTAAGATTCTGTAAAAACTGTTTGCAAGTCAATTTAAATCAGTGCTCAGTATTAGCATTTTCATTCTAGCTTAAATGTACTCATATTTGTGAAAGCGTAAATGATTTTGGCTAGCACTGGCTATGTTTACAGGTATTTCAAAGTCCTGACGCTGTGTATGTATGAAGTCTTCTGTCTCTGTACACACTTCTTTCCCCCGCCAAAGAAACTGGTGACTTGTCATTTTTAGAAAAGCTTAGCTATTAAAAAAAAAAAAAGTTCTTAAATGGAGACTAAATTTTCGTAAGAGTATATGCCTCCAACTGCCTAAAAATCATTAATTGATCCATGTGGTAATAACAGATGGTTAAATGCAAGAAATGTCCTTGAAGTTATTCTAATAGCAGATGTGCCTAACTATTAGCTTCATGTTTTTACTCACCTAAAATTCCAAATAATGTAATAAGAAAGTAACACACACCTAATCATTTTAATATGTTCATTACCTTCTGTTACTGATTTAGTATTCATCTGAAAACTTAAAAGCAGGACATCATTTAGAATTTGTTCTGGTAAAACACTTTAGAATGTATGTGTGCATGTGCATCTGTATAAAAACATTGAATTTTTTTCTTTTTTCAGGATCCTACAGGATGCATTATTGCTTTCAGACAGTAGGCTTCACCTCTTCTTACAGACTCAGCTAAGCCCGGAAGATATGGAGGCTTGTGTATCTGGACAGACCAAATACTCTGTTGCTGATGCGATTCATAAGTTTGCCTCTTTGAACAGACGTTTTCCTATAGAAGATGAAGAGAGAAAAAAAGGAAAAAAACGATGCGGACTCTGATACAGAGAGGTGATTTCTGTATTTCCTTACTTTGAGATTACATATACATACATACACATGCGCATGCTTCACTTTTTTTGTTGATGTAATACTAAGATAATGAAAAAATTAATTGACTGAGATTTTATTGAGCTGTGACAGCTCATCATAGAAGTCTTCACACACACCTCCACACTGAATTAATGAATGCAGTAGAAATTCAATTATCTGCATTCTGATTATGTGAATTTCATTTAGTCAGACTTGAATTATTCGCGTTTAAATTATCTTGCTAAAAAAATATCCAACTGCACTCCAAATGGCTAATTAAAAGTCCAAATTTCCTGTCTCTCTTTGTGACTGGAGATAATTAAAGTTCTCCTCTGTTACTCAGGCTTTGAGTGTGTTGTGAAAACCAATTTCCTCCTTTTATTTTTTTTTTTTTTTTTTTTCTTTTTTCCCCCCTCTCCCCTCTTCTGCAGTTCATCCTCTGGGCTCGGACCTAGTGATGACAGCATTTCATGTGGATGTAAAGCAAGCCCAGCTTCTGAAGAGTCATGAAAAATCATTCCTGTATTGCTCTCTTAAGGACAGTACAAAGTAGTTTCTGCTCTGTTTACTGGTTACGTATACCACGTAAACACGGCTGGCTGGTAACGCGTACCTAAAAGACACGTCAGTACAACCATATGTCCTTATAAAATTTTCAAAACAGACCTTGATATTATTTCTTTGTTGATTTATTATGTATGTTGATTCAGGTCTACATGCTACCTATTATGTTTAGGGTTTTGTGACTATTAAAATCTCGGTATTGGGTAAGTCATGCTCTGCTGACATACGTGGCAGCTAAAATATTTCCCTTGTTGAGTGCATGCCTTGGATCCGAAAAACAAAGATAACTTAATTCCTCAGCTTAAAAGTTGGTATATCATATGAAATATATTCAAAGCATCTTTTTGTAATTTGCATCAAGAGAAGTTTCATCTTTAGAAGTCATTTGACATTGGTGATGAAATTACATACCCCACAAGGTATTCACTTTTTAAAGTAGCCCAGCAACACCAGCAAAACAACATTTGTACAAACTATATGCTGCTGACAATTTGAGATGTATTTATATCTTCCTCCGGTCTTTCTGTAATGTTTATGGAAAGCTTGGTTTTATCATGTATAAGAACTGAAGGCCAAAATTCTTGGGCACGGTTGCTTAGGAGTTAGAAATATTAATAAAAATGACATCATTTCTAGGCTTGCTGGAGATTCTCAGTTCCCAGGGAATTACGGATACTTGTTCCCAGTGAAAATCCTGGATGAGGTCCATTGAAGCCAATGGCTGAATTTTGCATCAATCTCACTAGGGCCGGGATTTCACCCAGCGTGTTTAACTTTAGGCACTTTCATTTGAACATGCCAGGAGAGGTGTTTCAGTTTAGCAGTTTAAATGAGGAGTATCTCCCTCTCGAGATGGTGATAATCACACAGCTATAACGTGCTGTACAGGCGTGAACCTCTCCACTCTTTGGGAGTAACAGGAGCGGCTGATTTCATTGTGGCTGTAGTTAACACGTTGGAATATTGACTTTTTCACAAACAAAAGGCAGGCTTGAACACAACTCCGTAACTGCCACCACTTATTTTGATTAAACGTCAGTTTTGCTCTTTATTGTTAACAGCAGCTGTGTAGTGTCTTGTCCCAGATTCTGTCAAAGGAATATGTTTCACTGTGGTGTTGTATTTATATTTGACATTTAACTGCTATTAAAAAGAGCTAGGGGGTCTGATCGCCCTAGAAAAGCTCCCATTAACTTCAGTGCTGTAGTTACCAGCCTAGAAATGGAAAGGTATATATATATATTTTTGTTTTTTTAAGAATTCTGTGGGTACTTTCAAAGAAGGAGCATTTTAAACCTGTGAATTACAGAAACAATAGATTATTAAATGTCCAGCTCATAAGGTTAGCATAGGCATGTGTGGGCATGCTTTTTTAAAGCATCCAGCTGAGAATCTGTGTAATTTTAGAAACATGCTTTAGTAGCCCGAGGATAACACCTCTTAGGTAACTACTTTTAAGCCACTGTATTTTGTTGATGGTAGCATCTTTTATAAGATAAGTATCTGTGGTTCTTTTTGCTTGGTCTTACTGAATTGCACAAATGTATCTATTTACCTTCTCAGCTTGTGAGTAAATTGGCAGCCAATGCTATTTTAATGTAAAAGTGGTAACGTTTAATTAAAGCAACAAGTTATCACTAAAAGTAGCTTAAAAAATAGCTGTTATCTCAGGCAGAGATTTTGATTACTTGACTTTTTTTTTTTTTTTTTAAGATGGCACATTACAAGAAAAAATGTTTAGCAAATTTATTTGAAAGAGGGGGAACATAAAAAAACTGCTAAAAACTAGAATAATGTCTGAGAAAGATACTAATGTTTTTATTTAATGCAATGTCAGGGTACTGGGGTTTTATTTTAAAAGATTGAGCTAAACTGTTGAAGCACTTTATAATTCTGGCCTACTAACACATCCTCAGTATCCAAGGAAAGTTACAGAAATACAAGGTTTGGAGAACCTTTGTGGCTATTTTTTATTTTTTAATTCTAGGAAATTATCTGTATGCCAGTGAGTGTTCTCCAGATGATGGTGTTTCTGAAATAAGTATTTGTTTTCTAACAGTTCTATTGTTCTGCTATTGTTTTCATCAACCTGTGTAGAAATTCTAAGACTCCTGTAACAGAACTTTCTTCCAAGCTTTGACAGAAATTTGTTTAAATATTTCTCCTGAACGTTGTGTAGCTAGTATTACTAGAATTTTTCTTATTAAAGGGGAATGAAAAGTATTGTATGCTCTAGTATGTCTTTTTTTTTTTTTTGTATCAGCTGTGTGTAAGACATTTTATGTAATTTGAAACATTAAGTGTAACTTACAAATTTAAAGGTAAAAAAATATATTTTTAACGTATTGTGTGACTGTAATGATTTGGTGATTTTTTTTTTTTTTTTTTTTTTTCAGCACTGTCATATATTTTGATTAGTTGATCACTGGTATTTTGATTCTCATTTTAAAGCTTTGAATAATGATGATTTTTCCTGCTAGTTTTTTAAACAGGCTAATATCTAGTTTATAATATCATCTAATTACTATTCTAATTTAATTGCAATAATTTTGCACTCAAAAGCTTTGCTTTATCTTTTGCCTAGAACTTTATATTCTCATTTTTATTATTTTCTTAAAAGTTTTTAAGTAATTAAATAAAACAAGTTACTACTTTCTATCTTGTGTTTAAACCTGACAGTAAGGTTTTATTTCAGTGTAAATATCCTAATCACTTTATGACCTACCATGTGTAATTACTCTTAATCTATTTTTGTATTATGTGTGTGTGTGTGTATATATTTATACACGCTGTTGTGTTTGGTTTTGTTGTTACTGGTTTTGTAGAAAATGTAAAGTGAAAAAAGTCCAGTCATATGTGGTATCAGATTCTATAGCGTATAACTTCAGAATACTGTAAACTAGTATTAAGAAACCTGTTACAGTGTCATTGAACTATACTTTCAAGAAAGATGAGAAACATTGTCTTTTGGAATAAAAATTTTAATTTAAATAGCAATGTAGTTTTATAAGCATTGAGGAAATTTATACTCTTAAATGCCCCGCTGTCTAATGCTGCAAAATTTGGTGTCCACATCTTTTTTTTTTTTTTTTTTTTCTTTTTTTTTGCAATGTGATATATTTTTTCCCAGCGTGCTTTTTAAATTCTATAGGTACGCAGGGTTTGGGGCTCGCTCTGGTGTAAAATACAAGGTACAGATAAAGTCAGCGTGTTCAGGGTGGAGGAGAACAAAACGTGCGTGTTTCTGTGTAGCCTGTAATCACAGGACGAGGCGCAGGGTTAATGCCTCGGGACTTGACATTTCCCCACTAGCTGCCCCAGGGTTGCAAAAATGTAAATCATTATTTCCAGTAGCGGGTTGATTCTTTTCGGGAAAGGCCTCAATGCTTTAGAAAACACCCAATTACACTCGTCTTCCATGTTTTAAGAGTACGCTGCGCCGTGGTACATCGCTTCTCCGTCTTCTGGGATGTAACCGTCTCACAAAATATTTAAAGTGACGTTTTAAGAGAGAAATCAAACTTTAACCTCGGGGCTTGACCCGCGCCCTTTGTCACTTACGCGTCCCGTCCCTCCCCTCCCTGGCCCACGCCGGTGCCCGTGTGTGAAGTTGTCACGCAGGGGCGGGCGAGCGGCGGCTGCTCCCGCGGGCCGCCGCCCGGTGCAAGAAGCGGGCTGGAGGGGAGAAAATAAAAAAAAAAAAAAAAAAAAAATTAAAAAAAAAAGGGAAAAAACCCAACTAACCACCACCACCAAAAAACCCCAAACAACACAACAAAACCCGAAACAACCACCCGAAAACAAAAGGCGAAGCAGGCACCGTCCCGGCCCCGCGCTCCCCGGGAGGCGGGAGCGCCGCTCCCCGCCGCCGCGTCCCCCCCCCCCCGCCCCCCCGGTGCTGCCGCGGAGCGGGGCGACCGACCGCCTTACCTGGGGCCGCCGTGCTCTCCGCCCCGCTCCGCCCCCCCCCCCCCCTTCCCCCCCCCCCTCCTTTCCACGGGCAGGGGCCGCCGCCCGTCCCCCGTCCCCCCGGCTCACGGGTGGGATGGCGGCTGCGCGTGCCCGCGCTCGCCGGAGGGGGGCGGCTGTCAGAGCGCGAAGCCGCCCCGGCCTTGATCCGGTAACTCGTGGCAACCGCAGCCCATGGCAACGGCGGGAGGGGGGGGGGGGGGGTGGGGGGGTGGCCGCTCCCTCCCGCAGTGCCTCCCCCCCGCCGCCCCGCCCCGGGCCGCCAGGGGGCGCTGCGGGCCAGCGAGAAGCGCGCGAGCCGGGCGGGGCGCCACGCGGGGCGGGCGACGTCGCTGAGCGCGCGCGCCTCGGCTCCGCGGCGTTCCGCGGGGGTCGGTGTGTGTGTGTGTGTGTGTGTGTGTGTGTGTGTGTGTTTTTCAGTTGATTTCTCGGTTTTACGGCTTTCTTCCCGAGCCCTTCCCGGAGTCGCGCAGCGCCGCAACCAGGCAAAACAGGCGCCCACCGCGCGGGGGGTGGGGGTTCACCCGCGGGTGCGGAGGGGGGGGGGGGGGGGCGGGGGGGCCCTGCACCTGCCAACCCACGGGGGAGCCCCCGCCGCCCGCGCCCACCGCCCCCCACGGCACGGCAGCGCCCGGCTCTGCAATGTTAAAAAAATACATATATATCGTAATATATCTTTTTAATTTGGGGGTTTTTACTACAAAAGCAATTAGGGGCCAGCGCAAAGCCAAGGCGTGACATTTCCCAGCCTCCGTGGCAGGCAGGGCTGCACTTAAATGGAGGCCTTTCCGCGGAACAACAAGAGCCAAAAGGTCTTGTGTCACGCAGTTATGTAAGACACAATCTCGCCTGAAAATGTACAATGAATCGGGAAGGATTTATGTAATTAATTGACCAGTCTTAACCTGTTATCGTGATGTAAGGAATTTGGAACTCATTAATTTGGGCCCTGACAGATTTCATATTAGAGCTGGCAAATATGGATTGAGCCTCTTATTCTTGTAGCAGCTGGAATTTCCATGACAGTGAGGATTAGTGAAGAAGACCTATTGCTGGAGTCAAACTGCCTCTTTTGTAATCAGCAGCCCTGCTCTGCATTAAAGGGGTAATGGGAAAGAGGAAAAAAAAATAAATAAGGAAAAAAAAAAAAAAAAAAAAGGGAGAAATGTATTAGTGTATGGAGTGGAGCAGGGGAGGGAGGGGAAGGACGTATCCTGGGGAGCAGAGGCACCGGAGTGGAGCTTTCCCAGCCTTGTGGCAAGGAGAGCTCCAAGGAGGCAGCCCTGGCGTGGTGGAAAGGGAGGGTGCCCGAAGGACAGCCCCGCAGCATCAGCGTGGGGCTCGCTGCCTCTCGGCCAGACCCTCGGATGGAGCCACCCAGGAGCCACCCAGCACTTGGGGCGGCGGCGTTGGAGGTCCGGGAGCAGGCTCCGGGCTGCCAAAGGGCGGAGGGATTTGGGGGGGTAGGGGGTTTTGGCTTGTGATCTTGGGGAAGTGGGGACTGGGAGGTAGCTGTCCTCCAGCCTGGACCGTGACGCCCTCCCCAACGGGGAAAAGGATGCTCAGGGTGGGTAAGGACCAGGTCCGGGGAGGAGGAGAGGCCTCCATGCAGCCGTGGCGAGGGTGACTCCTCACACGATACGCCTCAAACTTCCCCTGTACAAAGACGAGAGTAAGATGCTGATCCACGACAACCTCTCAGTATGGTTTTTCATGGTGCCTGGCTGGGGAGGGCCCTGAACCCATTATCATTTCTAGGCATTGATGTAACAGTAATAACATCGAGTGCAGACTGCGTGGAAACAGACAAGGAGCTTTTATTTTCTCTCCTGGCAACCTGTTAATGACTGCCTTGGTAGTGAATACAGTTATTAGAGATTACTTTAAAAGGTTTCCATGAGGCATCATCATATTTCTCCCTGCAAAGTGTTTACCTACTCTTGTGACAAATGCCATGCAAAGATGGAGGGGTGCTTTTCCTTCTCTTATCGTTTCTCTGCTTTATACTTTTTGGTAGTTGAAGATTTCCCCTCCATGAGCCCTTAGCTCCACTGTTTGCTCCTGTGGGTCATTTCTGCATAATAACTGGGAGAAGGGAAAAGATGAAAATCGGGGGGGATTGACAGTGAAACCACAATTGTTTGCAAACACTGTAGTGGCAAATGCAAATTAAAAATAAAATGTGGCAAATAAGGTGGATGTGACTCGAATCTTCTGGTCAACCTTGTTTATGTGCGTATTGACCTCGTCTCGCGTCATTGTGCCAGGATGGTTATATGAATCCTGGTACCAAAACTTGAGCGTTCAACCCTAAGACTGGGAATCTCCACGGGGCTGAGCACATGGTGCTGCAGACCTGCCCTTATCAAATCAGAAAGTCTCTGGAGAGGGGCTGCCATGTCCTCTCGCAGGGCTAGCTCTAGCTCTGTGGTAGCCTTTGCATTGCTCTCGGTTGTCAGCTAGTAATTTGGATCGTAGCTTTAATCTCCTTGATTTAAAACAAACCAGAAATACCCGACCCAGACCAATAGATTACAATTTGATTGTGCTCCTTCAAAGAATACCTTTTGCCTTATTGTCTCCTGATAAATTAAAAAAAATCCTTACACATGTCAACTAGCTCAGATTTCCCCCAAAGGTAGGGAATAATTTATCTTTTATGATGGTACACAGAACAAACTCAACCATTGTTTCACCAAGTCCATCTTTGGGGGTTTTGGAGTTTGTTTTTTTGTTTTTTTTTTTTTTTTTTTTACATTTGGGAGCGGCAAACCGCTCAGGTACTACTGCAGCTATCGGTTTTGCTCAAATATTCCTCTTGTTAAAATGTTGATCAGGCACAGGTAGTTTCCATGTTAAATGTGCCAACATATGCCTGAGCTTAGAATTATTTCAAACAACAAAACAAAGCATTTAAAAGTTTAAATGGATATTATAAGTATTTGCACTTTCTCCGATTCCTTCCCATGCTTATATTTGAAGTATGCCTGAGTGGTAGAACTTCCTTGTGACACTCATGATTTTGGGTGCTCACAAATTTAAAGTTAGTATTTACCACTAATTGGGGTTGTTTTTTGCATGTTGGTAAGAAAACAGCCATCAGCTGAAATGAGCATTTTGCCAGATTCTGACACTATTTTTATTCTGTGATGGTTAATCAGAAACCAAAGCAAAAACATGAGATAGAAAACCAAACACAGAAAAAACCTACAGTTAAACCTTCCAAACAAAAATACCTTTGCTGCAGATATTTTGTAACTTATACGAACACAGAAGGCCTGTTTTAATTTATGTGCAAATACTAAATGCAAATTTCAGAGCAGAAGTGGTTAAGAAATACCAACCACTAATTCAATTGAAGTAGATGGAAAAAACTTTGTGCTCCTTACATTGAAGGTGAAAATTCTGTCTTGCGAATGGCACTCAGATTAAAAATCACATTCCTGTTTGAACCAATAGATGGCCTTTTTGGATGTGTTATTTTTTTCCTGAAAACAGAAAAATGTCTGCTTTGAAGTAGAGAACATTTTCAGACAGTAATTTTCGAACACAGTGAAAGTGCATTTTTGTTTCTGAAAGACAATCAGTAGTAGATGAAGTTCTGGATGTACTTCCTATTATTCTAGAACTTTTCAGTGTACTTATGTTTACGTTAAGTCCTGAGTTTTCAATGCATGATAATAATCAGTAATGGTGATGATAAAGTGAACTACGAAGTCTATTCTTTTTCATATGTTTGTGCCCTCAAAGTGCCATGTATTTCCAGTTTCTAAGACCTCTTGTAGGTTCTTATGTCGTGTTATTTACACAGGTAATTACAACGGTTTTAAAAGAACAGTATTTCCTTGTGCTTCAGAAAAGGAGCACTTGTGATTTTTCAGAAGTCACACCTCTGCGCCGAGTGTCAGGAATCTTGATTCTATTTTATTTCCTGTATAAGCCACAGATTCTTAAAAGGGTTTCTGCAAGGAAAAGGCAGCCAGCAGCCCTAGGTGGCCAAGCTCTTTTAAAAGCCTGGGTCA